AAACTGTGACTACTTAAAACGACTACGATATAATTACATGATAATATTAGACACGACTGTACTGTTTAGCTTATCGTGTATCTAGCACATTCCTTACTCTTTGGAGAGATCACCACATTTATCTGAACGAATGTTTTTGTGTAAGATGAACAATAAACAACCGTCATCCTTTCTAAAGAAAGCCTACTTTACACGTCAGTGCAGTCATCCATTTATGATTATTGATTGTTACGTATTGAGATAACATCCAGTTAAAACAAGTGGAAATACAGAATCAAAGGTCGTCTGTCAAGAGGTGAAACTATATCTGGTAGCAAATGTTCGATTTTTTGATATAATGTCTATTAACAACAATTTATGACGTCATGAATTACGTTGACACAGTAAGCATGTCACAATGGAACGACGGTGTTTATAACTGTGCTGCTATCAGCTTATTTCTGTAGAATTATTGAACACAACAAAAGCTAATTAATTAATATTCAGAAGGAAAGAAATATGAAAAAATAAACTGAGAATATAAGATGGGCTTGAATTGTAGCTTATATAACGTTTATTTAATTGGAAGTTTGTTTTTTTTAGTTCTGAAAGTCTTTGCGTTGATGTTCGGACCACCGAAGATTAAATTACTTAACTAAATGTTCGCTTATCGATAGCGAAAATCAGAAGTAACATAACCAGAGATAACTTTTGAAAAACTTAAAAAATTAAAAGAGGCTTAACCTAAAATTTAAAAAGACTGATTAACTCTCAATATATATACATTGGTTTGGTTTGTTTTGAATTTCGCGCAAAGCTACACGAGGGCTATCTGCGCTAGCCGTCCCTAATTTAGCAGTGAAAGACAAGAGAAAAGACCAACTTTTGGGTTACTCTTTTACCAACGAATAGTGGGGTTGACCGTCACATTATAATGTCCCTACGGGTGAAAGAGGGAGCATATTTAGTGGGATGGGAATTCGAACCCGCGAATCGAAGATTGCGAGTGGAGAGCACTAACCATCTGGCCTTGCCAGGCCCGTTCTCTCTCTCTTTATATATATATATATAAACAGTTCATGGTCTCAGGTGTATTTTTAAACGCACAATAAAACAAACAAACAGAAAAAAGATGCATTACTTACCTGAAACTTCAAACTGGTGTGCTTTGGAAAGTTTGAAAGGGGGATATTAATGGTGATATAAAATGACACTTATGGTTACTATCGCAAGGATAAAACAAAAATTATATAGAGTCCCATATCCGTGACCATGACAATAGAAGGTTTGAAATAACTGAGATTTTAAAAATTTTTCTATTAGAATTACTTGGATAATAGGTGAATTCCTAGTGTTTAGAGAATTGCCATTTTTTACGGGTTTGAAAGGTTTGTTTATTTATTTGTAATTAAGCACAAAGCTACACAATGGGCTATCGGTGCTCTGCCCACCACGGGTATCGAAACCTGGATTCTAGCGTTGTAAGTCCGCAGACATACAGCTGTGCTACTGGGGGGGGGAGGGTTTGAAAGGAAACTTGATAATAAAATGTCTTTTTAATTTACTTCCATTTTTTATAAGACAATAAGATATGGCGTTTTGAATATAATATTTCTTTGATAAAAAAACTATTCAACGTTCATTATGGTTTTATAAGTACTTTCTTTTTTAAAAAAATTAAGATTTCGTTTTTTTTTCTTTTTTTGCAAAAGGATATATCAATGGGTGTTACTTATCTGGATTTACAGAACTTTAAATTACAGTATAGTATAGAACATAGCTTATTAACTTAAGACGTTCATATCTATGGATGAAAATACTCAGAACTAAGAAAGTAAATTAAGGTGTTCTTTGTGAAAGCAACGGTTATTTATTTATATATGTGTGTGTGTGTGAGAGAGAGAGAGAGGATTATATCTTTAATTAAAGCGCATCATGGTAGTTCTTGTCTTTTGAATCTTCCATATAAATATAATAGTACTGTTTGTTGTCTGTCAATGTAACTACCTCGCCCCCTGTAGATGGATATTCACCAAATTTGGTATGGAGATTCAATGGGCTCATGGAGAGATACATAAAAATTTTCAGTTTTGCATTTTGCGGTTTTTATGGGAGTTTTCTACCACTACCTCACCTCCTGTGGATGGATCTTCACCAAATTTGGTATGGAGATTCAATGGGCTCATGGAGAGA